GAAGGGTGAGGTGTTTTGCATGGTTTGTGCAAAGAAGAAGAATGCAGGAGAATAATTCTTGTTTTTCGTAAGTTTTTCCTTCTAGAAGTCTAGCCATTTTACCTTTGTTTCCATTTTTCTTGCTTTGCATGTTTTCAGCATCTCTTATAAAGTGAAAAGCATATTTCCAAGTTCATAATTTGATGTAACTTTAGCAGAAACAATGGTGGCTCATCTATAGTAGTTACAAGTATATCCATTATGTTTAGTTAATTAGCATGTTTGAATATGTGGGTATTTGCGATATTAGTAGCATACCAACATTAACTCAGTCATAATGTCATTGACTTGTGGGTCCCTAGTCTTTAAAGATTTCCTCTTTATTTTCCCTCTCCGGGTATTATAAAGTTTTATTCTTTTTAAGCGGTACCTGAACATTTTATTTTTCACCAATTTTGTAATAGCATTATCATACCAACAGTTACTAAATATTCCCTTCATTAAACGTGTCAGTGGGTTCCTACTGGAACCACTAGATGGGGCAAGTGACTGTGGGGTGGTGAACTCTTGAGAGAGGTTTCCTAGCAGTGCCTGGCTCTGAACCCTGAACATGCATGTAAATGATGGATGTGGATAAAAGGGGTTGTTAATATTTCTGTAGGTGTAGTAAAAGCCATACCCCACTTTTATTCCTTTTGCTAGCTTTGCTAATAAAAATGCCAGAAGTCCATACAGGGATCTTTATGCACTGAAGACTCTTTCATCTGTCTATTGTTAAATTCCTCTTGATTTTTTTTCCCTCTAGTGAAACATTTTACCAGTGAGAACTGTTTATTATTATTTGTCTAATAGTAGCATCAAAAACATTGGACAGGACAATGACTGGCACATGTCTTGTTAGTCCCATTCCTGTTTTTAAGGTGCATCTGTAACTAACCAGAGTTGTTCAGATTGGTGAACACATTTAGTAGAGTATCAGTTTGCAAATAAAGATAAGACTCCCCCCTTTTTCATTTGCATTCAAATGCATCCACACCTGGAGATCTGGAAAGCTATGAATTCTGTTTTTAGCCAGCCACTCTCCATAAATGATTGTCCAACGTGCTTTGCAATTTTAACTCCTACACAATTAATTAATTTGTATTCACAAGTTGCTGGCATTGCTATTTATTCAGATACAAAAGTGTAAAGTAGAACATTGCAGCGAGTATATGACAAAGATCCTTATTGTTGGACAGCGATGGATATTTTAGCTTGCTTGTTTTTCATTTTGTATGTTTTTTATTCACAGATAAGCTCTATAAAATACAAGTACTTATCTGAACTGGTTTAAGCGAGGGCCCTTTTTTCCTTGTCACGCACAGACAGGAAAATACTGCAAGATGCTGGATTAGCTTGTTCGCTTTTCATTGTTTTCTTTTCCAGCAGCAATCCGTTTAGCTATGGTATGTTGAGTTTATCTGATTAGCACCTAATGAGTAAAGGGAGACATGTTGCTTAGGGTTGAGCAATTTATGCCAAATAAAGTTTTTAGTACGGTTCCTCTCTCTCTCAGGAGCTGAACTTTCATGACCTTCCTAGCTTCATCCTCCCACCACCCCCACCAGCTCATTTCCATGTGAAATCATGGTATTTTAGTTGACAGGAGTGCCAGCAAGATTAGGAAGATTCTGTTCAGTGGACATGTTGCTCAACAATGACTGACAATCTGCCTGAAAGTCACATGAATTTAACAGCTGTTATTATCCCCACTTTCAGGAAACATCGGCAGTATCAGAAATTAACAGTTCATAACGTGATTACTTTTATCATTGATTTTTATAGTAAAAACATTGGATTTATTTATAAGTAGTAAAATATTTTTGTTCTTGTGCAACAATTATAGTATGTTCATTTAACAAGAATTCCTAGTGAAGCTGAAATTTAAACCATGCTTAAAATAGATGAATACTAACACAGAATGTTCTGCTCTTACTGGCATTTACTTGCAAACTTTTCTGCATAATTCTTACTTCTATTTCATACTTCAATTTATATTTTCTCTTTTAGATTACTTCTTATTTTGATTTAATAATACATTGTGAAATCCTACATGTCATAGCTGAACTCTACAAGATCCAGGAAAGCATATCTATGGGTTTATGCCGCTTTATTACTTCTATACAGTGGTATAAAGAAGTCTTAAGGCAAATTATAGTCCGGCTCAGGGGGTCTGTATTCCTTTCAGTATTCATGCATGGTTCCATTATAATTGAAGTAATATGTGTGCATCAGTAAGAGTGCATAAATTCTTGGAGAGTCAAGAAGATGATAGTATTGTCCAGATAATACAAACGTAGAGAGGGAGTCCATTTAAAAGTATTTTTAAAACAGCACATTTTCCCCACTTTCAACTTTATATAGGTGTTGAGTGGCCCTAAATTTCCTTTTGAAATGCTAGTGTCACTATACCTCATAATCTGTTATATATTTTATAGTGTTTGTGTAGCTGTCTTTGTGTCCCTTCGTCCTTCTGTGGGTCTGTTTGTTCAATAACTAAATGGTTAGAGCTAGGATTACCAAATTAGGTATACAGCGACTTCGTATTATAACTTAAAGCAAGATCAGGGTTTTGTTGTGCCCAGACAATGGGACATGTATGTAATGCAATTGTTTCTCATCAAATGGAAAGGGAGAGGTGTGATATCAGAGACAGTTACACTGATGAAAAACCACCAGGGGGCAGCAAGCACCCCAGCCTCAAGGAGCAGCTGCCAGCTAGGTCCCACAGTCCCTGGCACTCCCAGGCTGGCTCTGGGGAGAAGCCAGCAGGCAGGCTGGGCCAGTCCCAGGGAGAAGCTGACAGGTGGGCTGCGCAGCCTCCACCATTCCGGCCTGGCCCCCCGGGAACAGCCGCCAGCAACCCTCACCCCTGAAGCCCTCCCACACCTCCCAAACCTTTGTCCTGACTCCTGTACCCTCACCCTCTGCTCTGAGCCCTCCTACCCTTTGTTTCTGACTCCTGCATTCCTCACCCCCTGCCCTGAGCCCCTCCTCACCTCCCAACCCTGACTCCTGCACCCCCCCATGCCTCCAGCCCCGAGCTCCCCTCATCCTCAAGCCCTTCCCCTGACTCCTGCACCTCCTCTTAATGACCTAAACAATACCGGGTAATTACATTTGCTAGTTTAATATCATTTGAAATGTCTCACAGCTATAAGCAGTTTGGAATGAAGGCCTTGATCCTACCAAGCACTTGATGTACACGTTAAACTTTTATGTATGTGATTTGTCCGATAGAAATCAATGTACATGACAGTTAGACATTCCAGAACTGGCTCTAAATGAATAGCTCCACTGGGACCTCACAGCTTCCTTGTTAAAATGCTGCTTGCCTCCAACAATTGATCATGGGCTCCTGTTGAAAAGGGCTGGGAGGGAAACCACAAGATGTGATAGGGCAGTTTATTTAAAAAGAGGTGAATTTTTCTTGTGATTTTTTTTTTTTTAATAAAAAAGACAAATTAGGGTAACAGTTCCTAAGATGCCCTGAGAAAGAAGGAATGTGATAGAAGTCAGTAGGAGACTTGGCTTGGACTAGAAGGAGCAGCGTTCAGTGACTTGCTGTAACAGAACACAAATTTTAAAATGTTTTAAAATGTAACCAAAGAATACTAGAAACACCGGAACGACTAACATCCTGGAGGAATGGAGAAAGGGGATGTTCTGAAAAGTGAGTAGGATATTTGGAAAACTTCTAGAAATCTAGATAGCAGGAAACCAGTGACAGTATTGTTTCATTCAAGTACAGCAGAAAAAGCCAAAAATAAAATACAGACGATTGAAAGGGCCTATTTATATTTTGACTGTTCACTCGTGAGTGTAAGCACATCATGCAGAGCTAAGAATACTCTGGCTCTATTTAGTGCTACATCATTGTGTACAGTGTAATCTACTTATATAGATTTCTATAATGGAAAAATCTACCTGAAGTGAATGTTAAGCTGGCATTCTTAAGTCAAGAAAAGGCCTAGTTAAGGTTGTGCACATAGTCTTAACTCTTTCTTCTCCTGTACATAAGAATGGCCATACTGAGTCAGATCAATGGTCCATCTAGCCTGGTATCCTGTCTTCCGACAGTGGCCAATACCAAGTGCTTCAGAGGGAGGGAACAGACCAGACAATTATTGAGTGATTGAGCTATCCCCTGCCAGTTCCAGCTTCTGGCAAAGAGAAACTAGAGATATTCAGAGGATGACGTTGCATCCCTGCCAGGTCCATCAGTGGCAGTGAGCCAGGACAATTGTTCATGAATATTCAGAATGGTACAGTTTTTAATTACATGATCACATATTGTTTCTCAAGTACAATATCATAGACTAGTCTCTGTGTAGCTACATCTTGTACTTCTGTTTGTGCTGCTCTCCATATGCTAAACTGAACAGATCTTATGGTGAGCTTTGCACACCATGAACTATCAGTTCTATCCTTTTGCTCTCTCTCCCTATCAAACCTCTACCGCACCATATAACTGATGTGACAATTATTGCGTTATTTAATTGGTTAACCTGTTATACATATTGTTTAAGGGCTAACCAATTAAAAGGAGGGAGCAAGGGGGCTGCTCTAGCCCTGCTGGGATGGAGTAGCCTCCCCACCACAGGCAGGTCAGATTTGTAAATGGCACTTCAGTGCCCGAATTACTTGGCACCTTTGAAAATGTTATCCTTCATCCTTCATCTTAAGCAGTAGAAGCTCATGCTTTCAGCTCTGTAGGAAGATCCTGGTTTCAGTTTCCACTGATGGCCCAAATCAGTTGTACTTTCGCAGTGTCCAACAACTTTTTGCTGCCATTTTATGATGTTTTTTCCAAATATGCACAATTCATGTGATATTTTGAGCCAGCCAATAAATCTTCAAGAGTATTCTAGCAGTGTATGATATAATTATGGAAATATTTTATCATTTGATTCAAAGGAATTTGACTAAAAGGATCATAAATGTGTGAACTTTTTTTTTCTGCTTTGCTTTCCCTCCCCTAGGTTTGCAATCATGTGCGGCTATATGTCTGAGTTTGACAGCATACAAAACAAAATCAAGAATGGTGGTCTCTTTAAGGTATGTTTTGGTAGTTTCATTAGCAGCCATTCTTAATTTGCTTTCCCCGATAGTAGAAAAGGAATGCTTTTGCAGCAAACTAATTTAGTCTCTAGGTATATTTCAGTGCCAGTGTTATGGTTATATGTTCTCCTACCACATATTGTCCATTAGCTTTCAAACTATAAGGATTTAAATATGACTTCATATGTCAATGTCAAGATTTTTGCTTTATTTCTTGACCAAAGCAAAGTGTGGGGGAAAGTGATTCTGCCACTGTAATTTAAAAAAACAAGTGGAAAATTGAAACACATATAACACTAATTCAGCAATTTCCTACAGTGATCAGTGTCACCCTTGGACAATAATACTGTAGTTTAATGTTTTCCTTTTGCAGATACATGTATATTTCATATTCAAAACTGTGGGGTATGTCACTTAGCATTGTAACATGGGGGAAGGCCTTGCCGGGGGCTTTGTTCTCAGAAGAAACTGAGTCTCTGCCACCAAAAGCTTAAAAACTTAGTTGTAATTTAAAAGCATCCAAGGCAAAGTTTAGCCATGTGCTATTGTATTTTAAATATTATCTATTTAGGCCTGTCTGCACCTCTATGATCCAGGTTGAATACCAACTTACTGCACAAGTAGTTCCAATGAATAAATGAGACCCAGAAATAGACATCTGATGTACTTAGGCTGCCAAGCACTAGGGTAGCAGAATTGTCCCATATATTACTATTCACTGGTATCAGGGCATATTGCATTAGACAGTAAATAACAAAAAAGGGGAAAAAAGTACAACCAATGAACTCCTGTGCCAAATAAGGCAGTTTATATAAATAAAAATGCTTTCATAATTAAGTAAAATTGTTAGCAATTGTCTAAACTGAAAGGAGGTGTTTAAATTGGTATGTGAACAAGCATATTGTATAGTGCCCATCTAGTACATATCTCATTTCAGAGAGTATCCCACCCTAACTGCACCAAGATGATCATTTGAGGGGTTTAGGTGAGAAGTTATAAGATCACCATTATTTTAGTGATCGGCTTGGTTTAAAAAAAATAGAGATGTTGGAAAAAGGAAACCTGCAATATCTGACAATTGAGTTATTTTGAGAGGAAATAATAAAAAGGGGTAGAAAACATTTCTTCAAGAAATTCCTTATTTTTGAAATCCTGATTATGCAGTAAGGATTTATCTCCATAAATGAGATCTGAAAATGGAAGAGAAAGGTGGGCTTGGAAGAAATGTCTCATTTAATTTGAATTATCCTTTCTGCTTTTTTATTCAGATTCTTTTTAACTCCTGAACTGCAGGGCAGAGGGCGTAGGATCTGTACTTCTACTGTAATTCAAAAGTTTGGACTGTGGTTCACTGTTTTAGACATCTATGTCAAATTTATTCTAGATTCCCGACTGTTTGTCGATTATATGTTTTTTTGCCAGCCACATCACAGAAAATCAGGCCCTGCTTCTGAATATAAAATGTTACATGGTGCACCAACTCATAGTGGTACTTATGCTTCATGCTAGAGAAGGATACACTTCAGTGACTGATCATTAGTTTGAGTATACCATATCTGTGAAGCAAAATAGGATTGTTTGCACTGGATTGATGTGCTATGCTTTTCTAATACCAAATACGTTTAAAACCAAAGTTTGGAATGCACCCTTCTTTTTTGTTTGTTTTAAAGATCCTTCAACTATTTACTTGAACTTTATAGTTGTTAGGTCACTTTCTAAATGTCATGTGTCCTGGTATGTTATGCGCAGAGTTGTTAAAAAATTGTGTTTGTGGTTTTCTTCTGTAAGCAATGGTATTGCCACTTAAAATATTTACAGAACACTAGAACAACTGCAGCAAAAGCAGTCACAAATGAGAATTTAAATAAATTTGTGCTAAATTTTGTATTGTAGTTTTAAAAAGTTGGAAGACTGCTCCCAAACAGAAACGAATATCCTATATTCTTTCTTTTGAACTTCTTTTTAACAGGAGCATCTAGATAAAGCAATTGAACTTAAGCCTCAAGATCCTTTTTTATATCACCTAAATGGAAGATGGTGTTATTCAGTAAGTTGTGTTCTGTGCCTAATATTTGGCTGGAATGTGCTGAAAAATGATAATTTGTTTACACTGCAATACTGTAACTGAAATCTGAGAGAAATGACATCTTTATTGAAGTGGAAACTTTGAAATTGTAAACAAAGCATTGCTGTGTTCTTCTCATGAAATAATTTCCACCTGCCTGGTTATTTAATACAAGCTGTCTTACTCCCAGTCGTTATCACAGGTGTTAACTATGCCATATACTCATTTTTTAAAGCCCCTTGTTTTGAATTTTGCTTTATTATTTCTGCATATCAGTGAAATGGTAAATAAGATCTGGAGAGGACACATGGTTGGTTATGCGGTAGGTCACTAGTCTGAACTTTGGGAGATCTCATTCTGCCACAGACTTCTGGTGTGACCTTGGGTATGTCACTTAGTAGTGTCTGTGCTGCAGTCAAATGGGGATAATAATAATAATTCCTCATCTCCAAGGATGTTATGAGAAGATATTTTAATGAGAGGATTTCTCCTAGCACCAGCCTTTTTAAGAAGCAGACATTTGTGTGGTGCTGAAAGACAATTCATTGAGGCACAAGGCTCAAGGAGTACCATGTGTGTGCCTTTACATTTCCACTGTGTGGTTTCCATGATGTGACGACAAACACCTTCTATTCCATGAAGATATGTCTACACTGCAGCGTTTTTCTGGAAAACAGCCGTTTTTCCAGCAAAACTATACTTAAGTCCACACTGTTATTGCGTTCTTTCAACAGACAGTTGAAAGAATGGAGGGGTTTTTCCGACAGCAGTAAATCTCTTTCCACGAAGAAGAAGCCTTTTTCCGAAAAATGCGTGCGTGGACACAGAAGAGGGAGGGTATGTCTACACTACAGCGCTAATTCGAACTAACTTAGTTGGAATTAGTTAATTCGAACTAAGCTAATTCGAACTAACGCATCCAGACTAAAAAACTAGTTCGAATTAGCATTTTGCTAATTCGAACTAGCATGTCCACACAGAGTGGACCCTGAACCGGGGTTAAGGATGGCCGGAAGCAGTGCCAGCAGGGCATCAGATGAGGACTTAGAGTGTGGAGCTGCTGTCTCAGGCTAGCCGAGGGCTGTGCTTAAAGGGACCCGACCCCCACCCCGGACAGACAGTTCTCAGGGGTGCCCCGCTTGCAAAGCAGTCCTGGCTTGGATTGCCCGGAGTACCCACACTGGGCACATCACAGCACTCGGCCATCAGACCGGCTGCACTTGCTACAGGCTGCCATCTGGGGAGAGGAGGCAATTGGGGGGCTGCAGGAGAGGTTCCACCCCCAGAAGCCCGCAGAGCCAGCCCAGTCCTCCCCATCGGGGGCTCGTACCCCATTCCTCCCTCACCTCCTTCCACTTACCCGTCTCTAGCCCCCCTTCCTGATGTACAAAATAAAGGACAATTGTGTTCAAAAATAGAATCTCTCTTTATTGAACAAAATTCGGGGAGACTGGGAAAAGGAGGTGGGAGAGGGGAAGAGAGAGGCTGGGAGAAGGGAGGGCAACTACAATGATGAGGGGTTTGGAACAGGTCCCATATGAAGAGAGGCTAAAGAGACTGGGACTTTTCAGCTTAGAAAAGAGGAGATGGAGGGGGGATATGATAGAGGTCTATAAAAGCATGAGTGGGGTGGAGAGGGTGCATAAAGAAAAGTTCTTCATTAGTTCCCATAA